GCTGAGCCTGCAAATATCTTTTTTTTCTTTTCTTTTTAAATGATTGGAATGGCTTTGTGAGGAGGGAGAGGGGGGTGGAGGGCTCCAGCCTTCAGAGTACCTTAAGGTAAGGCAATCCAGAGGGAGGATAATTGCTTCCAGAAAGCATTAGTTGATCAGATAAGCAGTGAGATGATTGCAGGGCACAGTTGCTGTGGGTCAGATGTGAGCTGTGGATATTATGGGCTGGCTGCAGCTTTTGCAGCAGAGATGGGCTGTGCACACGAGGGCAAAAGATGGGATAGAAAACCATGGAATGTGTTGGGTGGGGAGGGCAACCCCTGAGGATGATACCCTATCAGGAAGAGAGTGGATTAGAGCATCCAGCTATCCTGCTAGCGCAGGAAAACTGCAGGACACAGCCTCATTTTCCTCCTCAAGGCACAAGATGATTAAATCCTGCAAAAGAAAAGTCTGCCTCTTGATCTCTGCCTGTGTTGCAGCAAATTGTTATGGCAACTACAACACAGGAGCATTGCAGGGAAAACAAGCAATGGGATGAGGAAAAAACACATCAAGTAACTTAACTCCAGAGCCCCCAGAGCACTTTCTGGCAGCTCAGAGCTCAGAGGGAAGGTCAAGGCTCTACCTCCTCAGCTGCTGTCCCTTCCCTCCCACAAAGAGGAAACAGAGTCTAAAACAAGGGCTTAAAACAGCTCTGCAGCCATAGCACGGCTTCTACTTTGAGCCTCACTTTTATTGCTCACAATAAAGCCTGATCTGCTTACTCAGAGTGAGGCCTGATGACACGTCTTCCTGCTCGGGTTCTAAAACCCTGCCAAACCAAATCATGCATCACCTCCTTTTCATATTCCAGGGCCCTCTAACTCAGCATGTTTGCTTGACCCATCTCTTCTGAACACCTAAGAAAACACCTTGGTTCTGCCTGCAGCTGAGGTTACCTGCTGCTTTGTGCCGCATTTGGTTTGGAGATGTTCCCCCTCCCCAAGAGTCTTGTGTTTTTCTTCAGCTGCCAAAGGGAACTGCTGTTTGTTACCCCAGGGCCTGGCATCCCTTCAGCACAGACACAACCTTTTTGAGGGGTGGGGGTGCAGACAGGGGAAAGAAATGGGATTGTTGGGGGTTCAAGCAGCTACCTGGAGCACCTTGGAGTGAAAGGTGTGATTGCTTGAGCTGAGGTTTGGGTGGAAACTCGTTTTGCTTTGCTTAGCAGGGAGTGACTGGAGCACTGAGGCTTCAGGCCCCAGATTGTGACTGGACTTTAACTGAACTTTTTGCTCAGCCAAAATGGAGAAGTACTGGGAGTGAGGCCTTAAAAGGTGCAGGGAAATAATCACAAGAGATCTCTGATGGGAGGGTCCCAGCTGGAATAACGGCAGAGCAGAGGCTCCCAACTCATCTCCCCATCCAGGGCCAAGAGCAGCTCCTGCCTCACCCAGACTCCTCTGTGAGGAGTTGAGGAGGAGGTTGCAAAGCAATTCCAGAGGGGAAGATGTTGCTTGAGGCAGGATTTGCTGCAGCAGCTCCAAGGGCTGTCCCTGGATGTGGGGCTGGAACCTGCCCTGCGCCTCCAGGAGAGCAGCAGCCTCTCCTGTGTTCCCCCCAGCCAGGGAAGTGTGACAGCACCTGGCAGGAGAGCTTTGGAAACTTAGATCTAATTACTGAGCTCTTTCCTGAGAAATGGAAGGCCAGGAACAGGCCCTCCAAGAAGTCCCTCCAGCTCCCAGCAGCATTTGCCTGCACCACCCTTGACTGGTGTGGGAGTGCAGGTTATTTCAGCATTAACCACCTTGGATGTGTCCTGTTCAATCCTTCCCTTAGAAAGGGCAAGTGCAGCAGCCTGTCCAGCTGCCTCCATCAAGGGCACATGCTGCCTGGCTGCTGCTCCACCTCTGCTGTCCCTTCAAGTGTCTTGAGAACTGTGGCCCCTTCTTCCCTGCTGGAATATTTCCACTGTCTCCTTATTCCCAAAGGAGACAAGGTCTGAGTGATGGACAAGGGTTTTTTCCCTACCTGCTCATGAAGGGTGAAGGGAGGAAGCTGCAGCTTTGAGTCTGGGTTGTGATCATTTTGATTCCTCCTGTTCTCCTGCTGTAACATCAGCAGGACGAATGCTGACCAGGGGTGGAAAGAGGGGGCAAGGATGGATCTGTGCATGCCTGGGAGATGGATGAGAGAGAACACGCTGAGGAATGCCCAGGAGGAAGCCAATAATTGTGGTGTTTGGATGGAATTTGAAGAATATGGCCTAGGGCCACGTGCTGAATGAGGGGATCAAAAGAAATATTCAGCAACAGCCCAATCAGGGAGCAGGGCTGGGGGCCCCGTGGGAAGAACATGGGATGTGATCACAGCACCAGGAACTCACGGAGTGGGGGAGAGATGGGGGGGCTCAAAGCTGCACTGACATTGTTTTATTTACGTGTTGCTTTCGCAACCTGAACTCGCTCTCAACTGGGCTTTGGGGGTAAAACAGAAACGTGGGGTTCTTGGGTTGCTTCTGTCAGAAGCAGGAGGAGGGGTGCTGAGGATCTTCTCCTTAGATCCAGATGTAACCACTTAACTAATGGAAGTTCTCCCAGATTAAGTTTTCAAGCTTTTTTGATCATTTGAAGCTGCTTGGTGGTGGTGGCAAATGCCTGGCAGCTGATTCAAACCTGTTCAAGTGGCAACAGTGCCAAGATGCAACTGGGAGCAGGACTGGGGCTGGCAGGGCAAGTTCAGGAGAAATTCCTGCTTGAGACCCTGCAGGTCAAGTAAATCTTACATAAATGTATTAAAAACAAATAAATGAGGAAACGCATCAATCCGGATGTAAAGCAGAGGAATAAAACACTTCTGTGAGCTTGAGCCCACGCTCTGTTGAAGTCACAGGGGCTCCAGGCTGCCCAACATGCCTCACCAACTGGGAATGCTGGAATCCCAGCTACATCCATGGTGCTCAGGGTGAGCCTGGGCTGCAGGAGGTGCCAGCCTGGCTCGGGGCAGGGCAGGCAGCTCGGCACACTCGGTACGTCTCGCACGTCCACCAGGCTCCCTTCTCCTCCCCTGTGCCTGGAGCAGCTGTTCCTCCAGATGTCCAAAAAGCAGCTGTTTATCTCAGAAAAAAAAAAAAAAAAAAAAAAAAAGCCAGAGCTGTGTGCTGTGCAGCATTTCAATGCAGGACACAGGATGTGACTGTGCAGCTATGAAGAATCAGCGTGACAGGCTCTGCTGGGCTGGCCTGGCTCTTTGTGGGATGGGGGCTGCTTTCCCTGTGCCCTGCCCAGTTCCCAGCCAGATAAAGGGCTGTCCCCTCCAATATTTCTGTCCCAAGTACCAAATTCCTTCCTTATACCCCCCCCCCCCCCCCCGCCGCTCCATTATCAGCTCTTTGCCTCCCTTTTGCCTCCAGAGCTCTTTGCTCTGCCTTCCAGCAAGGCAGCCCGATGAAAGCCATATTTTCTTTTTGCCACGTGGCTTTTAAAATACTGTTTAATTTAGCACGATTTCTGGGGAGCAGCAGGACAACCTCATTAGGTGTCACAGGGGCAGCTACTTGAGAACCACCTCAGTCCTATCCTGCAAAACAAGACAGCCCAGGACAAAGGGAAAGGGGGCTCTTACTTCCTAACTCCTGGCATTGAGAGCAGCTTGGCTCTGGGCTGGGCAGGAACATTTAAGGTAGAATTTTAATGGGTTTGCCAGCCCCAACCACTTAAAAATCCTGAAATTCAACCTCTTAAGGCCTTGCATGTTTAGGTAAAGGATTTAGTACATTTCATGCTCCCGACGGTTTGGGAGCATTTTTTTTGTTTGTTTGCATCTTTTTAAAACCTTGTTTTGTTTTTTAAAAGATGAGATTCTCAGGTGGTGACACGAATCCAGTTGCTGGG